CTACAGTCACTGTTACACTCCCACCCTCCTACAGTCACTGTTACACTCCCACCCTCCTACAGTCACTGTTACACTCTCCCACCCATATACAGTCACTGTTACACTCTCCCACCCTCCTACAGTCACTGTTACACTCTCCCACCCTCCTACAGTCACTGTTACACTCTCTCACCCTCCTACAGTCACTGTTACACTCTCCCACCCTCCTACAGTCACTGTTACACTCTCCCACCCTCCTACAGTCACTGTTACACTCTCCCACCCTCCTACAGTCACTGTTACACTCTCCCACCCTCCTACAGTCACTGTTACACTCTCCCACCCTTCTACAGTCACTGTTACACTCTCCAACTCTCCTACAGTCACTGTTACACTCTCCCATCCTCCTACAGTCACTGTTACACTCTCTCACCCTCCTACAGTCACTGTTACACTCTACCACCCTTCTACAGTCACTGTTACACTCACACCCTCCTACAGTCACTGTTACACTCTCCCACCCTCCTACAGTCACTGTTACACTCTCCCACCCTCCTACAGTCACAGTTACACTCTCACACCCTCCTACAGTCACTGTTACACTCTCCCACCCTCCTACAGTCACTGTCACACTCCCACCCTCCTTCAGTCACTGTCACACTCTCCCACCTTCCTACAGTCACTGTTACACTCTCCCACCCTCCTACAGTCACTGTTACACTCTCCCACCCTCCTACAGTCACTGTTACACTCTCCCACCCTCCTACAGTCACTGTCACACTGCCACCCTCCTACAGTCACTGCTACACTCTCCCACCCTCCTAGAGTCACTGTTACACTCTCCCACCCTTCTACAGTCACTGTTACACTCCAACCCTCCTACAGTCACTGTTACACTCTTCCACCCTCCTACAGTCACTGTCACACTCCCACCCTCATACAGTCACTGTTACACTCTCCCACCCTCCTACAGTCACTGTTACACTCTCCTACCCTCCGACAGTCACTGTTACACTCTCCCACCCTCCTACAGTCACTGTTACACTCTCCCACCCTTCTACAGTCACTGTTACACTCCCACCCTCCTACAGTCACTGTTACACTCTCCCACCCTCCTACAGTCACTGTCACACTCCCACCCTCCTACAGTCACTGTTACACTCTCCCACCCTCCTACAGTCACTGTTACACTCTCCCACCCTCCTACAGTCACTGTTACACTCTCCCACCCTCCTACAGTCACTGTTACACTCTCCCACCCTCCCACAGTCACTGTTACACTCTCCCACCCTCCTACAGTCACTGTCACACTCCCACCCTCCTACAGTCACTTTTACACTCTCCCACCCTCCTACAGTCACTGTCACACTCCCACCCTCCTACAGTCACTGTTACACTCTCCCACCCTCCTACAGTCACTGATACACTCTCCCACCCTCCTACAGTCACTGTTACACTCTCCCACCCTCCTACAGTCAATGTTACACTCTCCCACCCTCCTACAGTCACTGTTACACTCTCCCACTCTCCTACAGTCCCTGTTACACTCTCCCACCCTCCTACAGTCACTGTTACACTCTCCCACCCTCCTACAGTCACTGTCACACTCCCACCCTCCTTCAGTCACTGTCACACTCTCCCACCTTCCTACAGTCACTGTTACACTCTCCCACCCTCCTACAGTCACTGTTACACTCTCCCACCCTCCAACAGTCACTGTTACACTCTCCCACCCTCCTACAGTCACTGTCACACTCCCACCCTCCTTCAGTCACTGTCACACTCTCCCACCTTCCTACAGTCACTGTTACACTCTCCCACCCTCCTACAGTCACTGTTACACTCTCCCACCCTCCAACAGTCACTGTTACACTCTCCCACCCTCCTACAGTCACTGTCACACTCCCACCCTCCTACAGTCACTGTTACACTCTCCCACCCTCCTACAGTCACTGTTACACGCTCCCACCCTTCTACAGTCACTGTTACACTCCCACCCTCCTACAGTCACTGTTACACTCTCCCACCCTCCTACAGTCACTGTCACACTCCCACCCTCCTACAGTTACTGTTACACTCTCCCACCCTCCTACAGTCACTGTTACACTCTCCCACCCTCCTACAGTCACTGTTACACTCTCCCACCCTCCTACAGTCACTGTTACACTCTCACACCCTTCTACAGTCACTGTTACACTTTCACCCTCCTACAGTCACTGTTACACTCTCCCACCCTCCTACAGTCACTGTCACACTCCCACCCTCCTACAGTCACTGTTACAGTCTCCCACCCTCCTACAGTCACTGTTACACTCTCCCACCCTCCTACAGTCACTGTTACACTCTCCCACCCTCCTACAGTCACTGTTACACTCTCCCACCCTCCCACAGTCACTGTTACACTCTCCCACCCTCCTACAGTCAGTGTTACACTCTCCCACCCTCCTACAGTCACTGTTACACTCTCCCACCCTCCTACAGTCACTGTTACACTCTCGCACCCTCCTACAGTCACTGTTACACTCTCCCACCCTCCTACAGTCACTGTCACACTCCCACCCTCCTACAGTCACTGTTACACTCTCCCCCCCTCCTACAGTCACTGTTACACTCTCCCACCCTCCTACAGTCACTGTTACACTCTCCCACTCTCCTACAGTCACTGTTACACTCTCCCACCCTCCTACAGTCACTGTTACACTCTCCCACTCTCCTACAGTCACTGTTACACTCTCCCACCCTCCTACAGTCACTGTTACACTCCCACCCTCCTACAGTCACTGTTACACTCCCACCCTCCTACAGTCACTGTTACACTCTCCCACCGTCCTACAGTCACTGTTACACTCTCCCACCCTCCTACAGTCACTGTTACACTCTCCCACCCTCCTACAGTCACTGTTACACTCTCCCACCCTTCTACAGTCACTGGTACACTCCCACCCTCCTACAGTCACTGTTACACTCTCCCACCCTCCTACAGTCACTGTCACACTCCCACCCTCCTACAGTCACTGTTACACTCTCCCACCCTCCTACAGTCACTGTTATACTCTCCCACCCTCCTACAGTCACTGTTACACTCTCCCACCCTCCTACAGTCACTGTTACACTCTCCCACCCTCCCACATTCACTGTTACACTCTCCCACCTTCCTACAGTCACTGTCACACTCCCACCCTCCTACAGTCACTGTTACACTCTCCCACCCTCCTACAGTCACACTCCCACCCTCCTACAGTCACTGTTACACTCTCCCACCCTCCTACAGTCACTGTTACACTCTCCCACCCTCCTACAGTCACTGTTACACTCTCCCACCCTCCTACAGTCACTGTTACACTCTCCCACCCTCCTACAGTCACTGTTACACTCTCCCACCCTCCTACAGTCACTGTCACACTCCCACCCTCCTACAGTCACTGTTACACTCTCCCACCCTCGTACAGTCACTGTTACACTCTCCCACCCTCCTACAGTCACTGTTACACTCTCCCACCCTCCTACAGTCACTGTTACACTCTCCCACAGTCCTACAGTCACTGTTACACTCTCCCACCATCCTACAGTCACTGTTACACTCTCCCACCCTCCTACAGTCACTGTCACACTCTCCCACCCTCCTACAGTCACTGTTACACTCTCCCACCAGTCACACCCTCCTACAGTCACTGTTACACTCTCCCACCCTCCTACAGTCACTGTTACACTCTCCCACCCTCCTACAGTCACTGTTACACTCTCCCACCCTCCTACAGTCACTGTTACACTCTCCCACCCTCCTACAGTCACTGTTACACTCTCCCACTCTCCTACAGTCACTGTTACACTCTCCCACCCTCCTACAGTCACTGTCACACTCCCTCCCTCCTACAGTCACTGTTACGCTCCCACCCTCCTACAGTCACTGTTACACTCTCCCACTCTCTTGCAGTCATCATTGCACTCTCCTTTGAATAACAACTGTGAACTTTACAACCTCTAAATGCACTTTACACTATGACAAGCTATACATTCACTCTGGACATTAACAAACTCTTGGCCACTCAGGACATTAACAAACTCTTGGCCACTCTGGACATTAACAAACTCTAGGCCACTCTGGACATTAACAAACTCTAGGACACTCTGGACAAACAAACTCTAGGCCCCTCTGGACATTAACAAACTCTAGGCCACTCTGGACATTAACAAACTCTTGGCCACTCAGGACATTAACAAACTCTTGGCCACTCTGGACATTAACAAACTCTAGGACACTCTGGACATTAACAAACTCTAGGCCACTCTGGACATTAACAAACTCTAGGACACTCTGGACATTAACAAACTCTAGGCCACTCTGGACATTAACAAACTCTAGGCCACTCTGGACAAACAAACTCTAGGACACTCTGGACATTAACAAACTCTAGGACACTCTGGACATTAACAAACTCTAGGCCCCTCTGGACATTAACAAACTCTAGGACACTCTGGACAAACAAACTCTAGGCCACTCTGGACATTAACAAACTCTAGGACACTCTGGACATTAACAAACTCTAGGACACTCTGGACATTAACAAACTCTAGGACACTCTGGACATTAACAAACTCTAGGACACTCTGGACATTAACAAACTCTAGGACACTCTGGACATTAACAAACTCTTGGCCACTCTGGACAAACAAACTCTAGGACACTCTGGACATTAACAAACTCTTGGCCACTCTGGACAAACAAACTCTAGGACACTCTGGACATTAACAAACACTAGCCCACATTTAACATTAACATCCTTCACTGTCGTGCATCAATCATCATGGTAAACAGTAGTGTCCCTTTCGGCAGGTCGCTCCCAACCACTTGGACTGGACGCTAGAACGACGGTCTTGCGTAATACAGGTCGGCGTTCAATCCCCGACCGTCCAAGTGGTTGGGCACCATTCCTTTCCCCCGTCCCATCCCAAATCTTTATCCTGACCCATTACCAGTGCTATTGGTGTGGCGGCGTGTGCTGATAGTTGCCTTCCGGCAGGTCGTCCCGGGACTACGGTGTGCTCTCCTGCTGGGCCACCAACACCGTCGGCACCCAGGCTGACCCCTGCCAGTTCACCGTACTGGAGGCAGGTCAGTCACCCACCGGGCCAGTTCACCGTACTGGAGGCAGATCAGTCACCCACCAGGGCCAGTTCACCGTACTGGAGGCAGGTCAGTCACCCACCGGGCCAGTTCACCGTAATGGAGGCAGACCAGTCACCCACCAGGGCCAGTTCACCGTACTGGAGGCAGGTCAGTCACCCACCGGGCCAGTTCACCGTACTGGAGGTGGGTCAGTCACCCACCGGGCCAGTTCACCGTACTGAAGGCAGGTCAGTCACCCACCGGGCCAGTTCACCGTACTGGAGGCAGATCAGTCACCCACCGGGCCAGTTCACCGTACTGAAGGCAGGTCAGTCACCCACCGGGCCAGTTCACCGTACTGAAGGCAGGTCAGTCACCCACCGGGCCAGTTCACCGTACTGAAGGCAGGTCAGTCACCCACCGGGCCAGTTCACCGTACTGGAGGCAGACCAGTCACCCACCAGGGCCAGTTCACCGTACTGGAGGCAGACCAGTCACCCACCGGGCCAGTTCACCGTACTGAAGGCAGATCAGTCACCCACCAGGGCCAGTTCACCGTACTGGAGGCAGGTCAGTCACCCACCGGGCCAGTTCACCGTACTGGAGGCAGGTCAGTCACCCACCGGGCCAGTTCACCGTACTGGAGGCAGACCAGTCACCCACCAGGGCCAGTTCACCGTACTGGAGGCAGACCAGTCACCCACCGGGCCAGTTCACCGTACTGGAGGCAGACCAGTCACCCACCGGGCCAGTTCACCGTACTGGAGGCAGGTCAGTCACCCACCGGGCCAGTTCACCGTACTGGAGGCAGACCAGTCACCCACCAGGGCCAGTTCACCGTACTGGAGGCAGACCAGTCACCCACCGGGCCAGTTCACCGTACTGGAGGCAGACCAGTCACCCACCGGGCCAGTTCACCGTACTGGAGGCAGACCAGTCACCCACCGGGCCAGTTCACCGTACTGGAGGCAGACCAGTCACCCACCAGGGCCAGTTCACCGTACTCACCGGGCTCAACATCCCACAGTGACGTGTAAGCAACAGATGATCAATATTGATAGTGTTAGAGTAATGTGTTAAACTCCTTCATGTCATCATACAAGTTCCCTCACTCGACGTCTTAAGAGACAGCGTAAGTTACGATGTTTTGATCACTCTTCGCAGAGGTAAGGTAACGATGTCATGAGGCAGCACAGAGGTAAGGTAACGAGGTCATGAGGCAGCACAGAGGTAAGGTAACGAGGTCATGAGGCAGCACAGAGGTAAGGTAACGCGGTCATGAGGCAGCACAGAGGTAAGGTAACGAGGTCATGAGGCAGCACAGAGGTAAGGTAACGAGGTCATGAGGCAGCACAGAGGTAAGGTAACGAGGTCATGAGGCAGCACAGAGGTAAGGTAACGAGGTCATGAGGCAGCACAGAGGTAAGGTAACGCGGTCATGAGGCAGCACAGAGGTAAGGTAACGCGGTCATGAGGCAGCACAGAGGTAAGGTAACGAGGTCATGAGGCAGCACAGAGGTAAGGTAACGAGGTCATGAGGCAGCACAGAGGTAAGGTAACGCGGTCATGAGGCAGCACAGAGGTAAGGTAACGCGGTCATGAGGCAGCACAGAGGTAAGGTAACGTGATCATGAGGCAGCACAGAGGTAAGGTAACGAGGTCATGAGGCAGCACAGAGGTAAGGTAACGAGGTCATGAGGCAGCACAGAGGTAAGGTAACGCGGTCATGAGGCAGCACAGAGGTAAGGTAACGTGGTCATGAGGCAGCACAGAGGTAAGGTAACGCGGTCATGAGGCAGCACAGAGGTAAGGTAACGAGGTCATGAGGCAGCACAGAGGTAAGGTAACGCGGTCATGAGGCAGCACAGAGGTAAGGTAACGAGGTCATGAGGCAGCACAGAGGTAAGGTAACGATGTCATGAGGCAGCACAGAGGTAAGGTAACGAGGTCATGAGGCAGCACAGAGGTAAGGTAACGAGGTCATGAGGCAGCACAGAGGTAAGGTAACGCGGTCATGAGGCAGCACAGAGGTAAGGTAACGCGGTCATGAGGCAGCACAGAGGTAAGGTAACGAGGTCATGAGGCAGCACAGAGGTAAGGTAACGCGGTCATGAGGCAGCACAGAGGTAAGGTAACGAGGTCATGAGGCAGCACAGAGGTAAGGTAACGAGGTCATGAGGCAGCACAGAGGTAAGGTAACGAGGTCATGAGGCAGCACAGAGGTAAGGTAACAAGGTCATGAGGCAGCACAGAGTTCGTCTGACTATGCAGCACCTGGAAGAGGTGAGAGGACAAGGAGCTGGTATATGAGGAAGGGGCCAAGGAACGGTTCCCATTCCCTTGGACCATAGGGGATCGAACGTCGACCCAGAAAGAAGCGAGGATGCTGTTGTACCGGTAAATCTAAGTGGCTGATTCCAACAGAAGGTTCCGTTATCTTTAAATGTATTGTACTTGTTACCTTGATTTTAGATTCATTCTCGAACTTGTGAATCTCTGAGTCGTTTAGCTGATATGTGGTACCCATAGGTTTCATGTCCAAGGCTGAGAACTCCAACTTGTCATCACTGAAGAGTATTGGATCACATTCAGTAAAATGTAGAAGTCTATTTAGGTCTTCATGTGGCGTTTGACAACCTTCATTTGAATTTATTACACATCCAATTTTCATGTTTGAAAATTTCGTACTATTGCGTATAATCCCATACCAGGCACAGTCCTGGCACCAGGCTCAGTCCTGGCACCAGGCTCAGTCCTGGCACCAAGCTCAGTCCTGGCACCAGGCTCAGTCCTGGCACCAGGCTCAGTCCTGGCACCAGGCTCAGTCCTGGCACCAGGCTCAGTCCTGGCACCAGGCTCAGTCCTGGCACCAGGCTCAGTCCTAGCTGGCACCAGGCTCAGTCCTGGCACCAGGCTCAGTCCTGGCACCAGGCTCAGTCCTGGCACCAGGCTCAGTCCTGGCACCAGGCTCAGTCCTGGCACCAGGCTCAGTCCTGGCACCAGGCACAGTCCTGGCACCAGGCTCAGTCTTGGCACCAGGCTCAGTCCTGGCACCAGGCTCAGTCCTGGCACCAGGCTCAGTCCTGGCACCAGGCTCAGTCCTGGCACCAGGCTCAGTCCTGGCACCAGGCTCAGTCCTGGCACCAGGCTCAGTCCTGGCACCAGGCTCAGTCCTGGCACCAGGCACAGTCCTGGCACCAGGCTCAGTCCTGGCACCAGGCTCAGTCCTGGCACCAGGCTCAGTCCTGGCACCAGGCTCAGTCCTGGCACCAGGCTCAGTCCTGGCACCAGGCTCAGTCCTGGCACCAGGCTCAGTCCTGGCACCAGGCTCAGTCCTGGCACCAGGCACAGTCCTGGCACCAGGCTCAGTCCTGGCACCAGGCACAGTCCAGGCACCAGGCTCAGCCCTGGCACCAGGCTCAGTCCTGGCACCAGGCTCAGGCCTGGCACCAGGCACAGTCCTGGCACCGGGCTCAGTCCTGGCACCAGGCTCAGTCCTGGCACCAGGCACAGTCCTGGCACCAGGCTCAGTCCTGGCACCAGGCTCAGTCCAGGCACCAGGCTCAGCCCTGGCACCAGGCTCAGTTCTGGCACCAGGTTCCGTCCTGGCACCAGGTTCAGTCCTGGCACCAGGTTCAGTCCTGGCACCAGGTTCAGTCCTGGCACCAGGCTCAGCCCTGACACCAGGCTCAGTTCTGGCACCAGGCTCAGCCCTGACACCAGGCTCAGTTCTGGCACCAGGCTCAGCCCTGACACCAGGCTCAGTTCTGGCACCAGGCTCAGCCCTGACACCAGGCTCAGTTCTGGCACCAGGCTCAGCCCTGACACCAGGTTCAGTCCTGGCACCAGGCTCAGTTCTGGCACCAGGTTCAGTCCTGGCACCAGGCTCAGTCCTAGCTGGCACCAGGCTCAGTCCTGGCACCAGGCTCAGTCCTGGCACCAGGCTCAGTCCTGGCACCAGGCTCAGTCCTGGCACCAGGCTCAGTCCTGGCACCAGGCTCAGTCCTGGCACCAGGCTCAGTCCTGGCACCAGGCACAGTCCTGGCACCAGGCTCAGTCTTGGCACCAGGCTCAGTCCTGGCACCAGGCTCAGTCCTGGCACCAGGCTCAGTCCTGGCACCAGGCTCAGTCCTGGCACCAGGCTCAGTCCTGGCACAAGGCTCAGTCCTGGCACCAGGCTCAGTCCTGGCACCAGGCTCAGTCCTGGCACCAGGCACAGTCCTGGCACCAGGCTCAGTCCTGGCACCAGGCTCAGTCCTGGCACCAGGCTCAGTCCTGGCACCAGGCTCAGTCCTGGCACCAGGCTCAGTCCTGGCACCAGGCTCAGTCCTGGCACCAGGCTCAGTCCTGGCACCAGGCACAGTCCTGGCACCAGGCTCAGTCCTGGCACCAGGCACAGTCCAGGCACCAGGCTCAGCCCTGGCACCAGGCTCAGTCCTGGCACCAGGCTCAGTCCTGGCACCAGGCACAGTCCTGGCACCAGGCTCAGTCCTGGCACCAGGCTCAGTCCTGGCACCAGGCACAGTCCTGGCACCAGGCTCAGTCCTGGCACCAGGCTCAGTCCAGGCACCAGGCTCAGCCCTGGCACCAGGCTCAGTTCTGGCACCAGGTTCCGTCCTGGCACCAGGTTCAGTCCTGGCACCAGGTTCAGTCCTGGCACCAGGTTCAGTCCTGGCACCAGGCTCAGTCCTGGCACCAGGTTCAGTCCTGGCACCAGGCTCAGCCCTGACACCAGGCTCAGTTCTGGCACCAGGCTCAGCCCTGACACCAGGCTCAGTTCTGGCACCAGGCTCAGCCCTGACACCAGGTTCAGTCCTGGCACCAGGCTCAGTTCTGGCACCAGGTTCAGTCCTGGCACCAGGCTCAGTCCTGGCACCAGGCTCAGTCCTGGCACCAGGCTAAGTCCTGGCACCAGGCTCAGTCCTGGCACCAGGCTCAGTTCTGGCACCAGGTTCAGTCCTGGCACCAGGCTCAGTCCTGGCACCAGGCTCAGTCCTGGCACCAGG